GGAGGTTTCTCAAACCCAGCCGCTCGTCCTGAGCCTGGTTCTGGAGGCTTCTTCCTGTTAAAAGGAAGTTTTTCCTTTCCACTGTCTCCTTTGTTCTTGTTCAGGATGGGAGACTGTGACAAAGTGAAGATTCAACACGGTCTGCTGCTTCCTTAGATAAAGAACTTTACTTACTGGATTTTAAAATGTACGTGAATGTTTTTAAAGTGTCCTGAGACGACTTCTGTTGGGACTTGGAGCTACAGAAATAAACTGAATTGAATTCTAAATATATGTTTAAATTCATATTGAAATTATTTTTGATGCGGTGCGACCTGCTAGTGCTCAAACTGTGTGTAGAAGATGACTCCACTAACCTCCACAAGTGATCAGATGATGTTTGTTCCCTCGCACATGAACCGCTGCCTGTGTGTGCAGGTCCTGTCTGAGGAAAGCTTCGGAGGTGGCCTGTTTGCTCCGCAGCGGTCACCTGACCGTGGCTCTGCAAGGTGAGTCACGTGACGCCGGACCGCGGCTCATATTGTTCGGTTCATTCATTATTCACGTCCTCACCGCCGCTGAAGGAGCCGTTTACCACGAGCAGCCACGCTCCACCGAGCCGACACGCACACCTCAGGAGAGCTTCGTGCAGGAGGTCACCGCTGCTAGTTTACACGAGATAAACCCAGACGAACAGGTTCCAACATCTATTCATCAGATTTAAATTCATGTCAAAGCATTTGCCTTTGAAGCAGCAGCAGATCACTCCGTTGCACTTCATGCTCAGTTTCTCTGAACTCTTGGTCAGTAAATTGTTCCTCCCTTCTTGGAGTAAATTCTACTTTTTGTGTGTTTTCCTGTGATTGATTGTATTTGGAGCTTGTGTGATTCCACAGTTAAACCTGGGATTTTAGGATCTGGATGCTGCTGCAGTTCAGGAATTTTTGTCTTCGTGTTGAAAATGGATTTTATTCACTCGGGATGTTTGGCGTTAAACTTGGGCCAAAGAAGAAGAACTTCTGATGGTATCGCTTTAAAAACATGAAGGAAAATCACACAAGTGTCCAAATGTTTTTACTGTGTTTTAAGTGCAAATCAATCTTTTTTTTTTTTTTACTGTCCAAATGAGCCGTTTTTAATATTGTTATACATTTACATGGATAACTATTAAAATGTGAAGTTGTCACAGTGCGGTGCAGCAGTCTGCTGTGCTGCTCAGTGATGAAAACACAATGATCACCGTTATTTTTGGTCAATTCTGTAATCACAAATATTGTAAATGATTAATCAGTACGTTTGGAAACTGCGTTTATCACACTTTAAAAATAACAAATGGCATCGAAGGTGATTATTTTTAAATTCCTGTTAGAGTGAATATAAAAGTAGGCTCCTGTATTAAATATTAAACGCATAAAAAGTAAATCGTTTGGATCAGAAATGAAAACTACAGCTTTGATCGCGCTTTTCTCTCCGATAGGAAAAGAAACATCTGGACGCTCCCGGGTGATTTATGCTGTTTCACATGTGTCTCGTTGTGTTGGAAGTTTAAACTGCTGTATTTCTGCTGCTTTGAGCTGCAGATGTTTGTTTGTTTGTTTGTTTGTTTGTTTTGATCAGAGGAGTCGGCACCGAGGGCATCCAGTAGCTCCAGCAGCAGATTATTGTTGGTCTTCAGCTGTTTATTTTTCATGACGTGAACTTTGATCAGGCTGGATGGATGAGCTAAATGATAATTAAAGGGATATTGTGCAGATGGTGTTTTAACCAGATGGATTTCTAATCATCTGATCTCCAGTTTTTGATCAGCACAGACACATCTCTGAATTATTCTAACGGAGCCAGCTTGTTTACTTTGTGCTGCTGCTCTTGAACCTTTTCTGCGACTCTGGAAGTGAGAAACGTTGTCGGTTTATCACGCTCAGTCCTTCTGCTGCAGATCTTACTGACTCGACCAGAAAGACGTTCCTCTGAGCATCAAGGTTCACGCTCGATAATCCAGGTAAAAAAGTCCAACAATGTTCCGTCAGGTCATCTGGAGGGGTTCCTGTGAGCATTACAAAATCCTCCAGGAGATTATTTTTATCTTTTCTCAGTCTCAGAAGAACGTCCTTGTCCTTCATCGTTTCCTCCCTCAGTCTGCCTCTCATCCTCCGTCTCTGTTAAGTTGTACAGAAACAGCAAGTTGAATTAAATGGTGGATAAAAAAGAAATGTTTCTCCCTTCTGAGCGCTAAAGTGGAAAACTGGCTCAACGGCGTTCCTGTCTGCTGATGTTAAAATTACTCTGCGTGTTTTACAAGTGATGGCTCATAAAGATGTGGTCCGGTCATTAAGTGGAACAGGAATGTGACTAATGGACTCGTGTGACCTCATATTAATAGAGATCTGTGAAGATGAAGATAAATGCTCCGAACAGTCGGACCTTATGAACGGCATGCTCTGCCCTGACAGAGGTGGAGGACCGGGACCTGAGCTGCGTGGTGTCCAGCCTGGTGCAGGTGATGTGTGACCCGCACTGTCGGACCCAGCAGGGCTTCCAGGGCCTGGTGCAGAAGGAGTGGGTGATGTCGGGCCACCGCTTCTACAGCCGGATCAACTACCACCGCGACAGTGACAAGGAGGAGGTGAGGTCCGCTTCTGAGCTGCAAATACAGCCCTGTGGTGTAACAGGAAGTGACCTCGCCGTGCTACTGAAGCAGCAGCAAAACATCACACGAGGCGCCGCACAAACATCTGAGTTTTGTTTGCTGCTGTAAACAAACGGTCCTGCCTCAGAGGGATTAAATCCTAATCCAGACGACTCTGGGCCAGATGCACCCCGAGGCTCTCTGGATAATTATAACCAATTAAAGAAAACACTAGAAACATAAATTACAAGCATTTCTAAAAAAAAAAGTCAGAATTAAGTGGTGAATAAAATTAGATGTAAATGAAAATTTCTGCTTTTATGAGAAGAAATGTATTAAATGTCCAACAAACTGACCGAGTTAGTTTTTTATTAAAGTGGGATATTTTATGTAGCATGTAGACTTTCATATTGTTAAAACTATATTTTATATGATGATGTATTTATATAACACTGTTTATTTCAATCAAATCTTCCAATACTTGTTGCTGCTCAGGGAAAATATATTGAAGGTTAACGAGCAGGAATGTCTTTTATTTGTGTTCAATGGAAAAAGCAGCAGATCTCTGTCCTAAACTGTGGTAGTCGATTTAATCCAGTAAAATAAATAATGATAATAATAAATTAATTAAAATAGTTAATAACTTAATAAAAATATATATTTTATAAAAATGTAATATAATAAGAAATCAAATAAAATCAGTTGTGAGGATGTCCGGTGGTATTTCTACTTTTACTAAAGTACGATTTTACTTGGGACTAACTTTAAAGTGCACAGGTTGCAAAGATCTCTGTAGCTTCTAGTGAAGGATGCTGGTTTTCATTCAACCTTTATTTAAACCGGTTAGTCCCATTGAGCCACGAGCACTCATTTACAAGAGACACAATTTACTGTTTCTGTGTATTTGACACAGAAAAACAATGATCAGCTTGAGGAACAAGAACATGTGTAAGAACGTGACACGTCAGGTAGATTGTTGGTCCGATTTGTTTATACTGAATTAGTTTTTATGAAAGTTTTTTCAATATAAACTGTTTGATTGTTGACGGGCAGTGAACTTGACAGGCCGTAATATTTTGGCACTTTAAAGTTTCAAACTAAGCTGTAGTTTTATTCAAATCTGTTCTAATAGCAAACGGGAGTTCCATTACTTCCAGTCAAAGTGGAGGGGGCGTTTTCACTGTAAAGGGGGCGGGGCCATGAGGTCTGGTATCTGAATGTGGCGTTCTGATGCACACTGAGGTTCATCAGATCGTCCACCTGATTCCTTCTGAATCTCGTAGGCAGTCCTGCTCGCTGCATGGGCGAGTTAAAGTGCAGCTTTTTATTTGTTTGACACTTTTCATGCTGCGCAGAGTCTCCCGTCTTTAACTGGTTGTTGTTCTTCTTCCTCGCTCCATCCTCCTCTTCATTAATAAATATTTGTATTTCTCCTCCCACCAGTCTCCAGTCTTCCTGCTCTTCCTGGATTGTGTTTGGCAGCTGTGGTTCCAGTTTCCCTCTCGCTTCCAGCTGACGGATGACTTCCTGTTGGCCGTGCACGACAGCGTTCACCTGCCGCTCTTCTGCACCTTCCTGGCAAACTGCCAGCGGGAGCGGTGCAAACGTTTACGGGTACCGAACACCTGAGACATTTGGGTTTCCTTCCTCTTGGAAGCGGGCAAACTGCACAGACTCACAACTGTCTGATCTGTCCCTAGAACCTGGGCCAGTCCTACACCCCCGTCAACGGCTGGAGAGACGTTCCAAACCCGGACTCGTCCTCAGACCCGTCTGATCCTCCTCTGCCCCCGGTGTGGGACTGGGCCCTGCAGTACAGCCAGGAGAGACGAGATCGTTTCACTCAACCCGTCCCACCTTCTCCTCCGCTCCAACCTCTGCTCAACGGCAACCTCAACACCAACCCAGATGCTCACAAGGTACATCTGCCTCACCTTGTAGTCCTGGGGGTCCACTCAGCACCTACAAACATCTACTCATTTTTTTTAAACGACATGGGGGGTTTGATCAGCGGCGACCACAAGGTTCTGTTGATGCGTTCTGTTTGTGCGACGCCACACCTCCATCTTGTGGCGACCATAAAACATGAACTGTAACTGTGACAAAGTTGCACTAATTAAATAGTTGCGTCGTCTTAAAGCTCGTGGAGCTGAACAGCAGCACTGAGGTTCTGCTTCAGGTAGAAGTGCAGATTAGCAGAATAAAGGGTCCAAATAGCATCTAATTTAATCTGATTCAAATTACCACTATTTTATTTTGTTAAAATTTGATCTTCCATCCATCGTCTTTACCCGCTTCTTCCTTTTCGGGTCGCGGGGGTCACAGGTGTCCATGTCCAGCAGTCGTAGAGAGATGGGCGGACACCTGGACAGGTCTCGAGTCCATCACAGGGACACACATGACCGTATGACACCGACATATGACACCGATGACCTTCTTGCTGAGAGGCGGCAGCTCTACCAACTGAGCCACCGTGCCACCCAAATTTGATCTTTGGTCTATTTGATGGAAACAAAATGCTAAATTGACTTCTGTTAGAGAGCGACACAGTGGCTCAGTTGGTAGAGCTGCCACCTCTCAACAAGAAGGTTACCGGTTCAAATCCCAGCCTGGGACTCTTCTGGGTGGAGTTTGCATGTTCTCCGTGCTGCGTGGGTTTCCTCCCACAGACCAAAAACATGCATGTTGGGCTGATTGGTGACTCTAAATTGTCTCTAGGTGTGAAAGGTTGTCTCCATGTGTCCCTGTGATGGACTGGAGACCTGTCCAGGGTGTCCCCCTCACACAGCGATAGCTGGATATGGGCACCTGTGACCCGGAAAGGAAGAAAGATGGACGGACGGACGGACGGACGGACTTTTGTTAGTTCTGTTACATTTAAAGGCGTTCTTGTGTCAGAAGTTTTACTAACAGTGCTTTTCTGTTCTTTCTGTCACCAGCTGACCGACACCGTCCCCGGCTCAGTGTTCCTGCTCTCTCGAGGCACCTTCACCTGCCCCCCCAACCTGCCGCCCTGGCGCAGCGGTACCTCAGGCGTTTACAAAAAGAGCCATCGCAGGGCGCCGTCCACTGAGGGCGTTCCCGGCCTGGAGAAGCTGCTGAAGGCCCTCACAGAGTTTCCTCAGAGCATCCCCTCCAGCTTTGGTCCGCAGGGGCCTCTCGACCCCTACGAGCCCTTACTGCCCCTCCTCATGGGGCCCTGCGTGGGCCTGTGGAGGGGGTGCTACCTGCGGGGGGCGCTCCATGCTCAGGTATGTGGTGGGACTTGTGATTTAGTGGGAATCTTCTCTGAAGAATCGGGTCATTTATAGGAAATTAAATAGAAAAGAAGTCATTTAGTCAGAAAGCATCAGCTGGACTGCCGGGTGTAAATATCTCGGAGTCGAGCGCGTGTCTCTGCGATGTTCTGCGTGGTGCGACCGTTCGTCCACCAGATGACGTTACTTCTTTCACGTTTCAATCAGCTGGAGCAGCTGGTGGATAACTCCATACAAGGATGTGGTCCGGGCTCTGAGGCTGCACAGCAGGACCATCGTCTCTATGGTGATGATAAGAATAGTTGAGGGCTGTGTGGGTGGGCGTGCTCGCCTCATTCACTGGAGCTGCTGAGGAAATGTGTTAAGCTGCAGATCTGACTCACGTTTAGTTTAGAGACATCTGTCGTCTTCGCTTCATCAATAGATCGTAACGTTTAGTCACCGTAGAAGCACCTTCTGAAAGCTCCAGCTTTGTTGGACGTTTTATCAGAATTCGTAACAAACACACGCCTGTTGGACGTTTTGATTGTGGACGAGGTCTAAAACTTACGGAGCAGCCAAGAGAACATGAGATGTTCACTGTAACGCTCCTGCATCTTCCAGCACCGTTCACCTGACGTGAAGTTCCAGTTTAAAGTGAACTTGATCAAACGGCCTCAGGTGGCGTCTTTGGACCCGTTTGAGTCCCGTAATGTCCTGTGCCGAGCTGAAGAGTCCGCTGACTGTCCTGTTTCTGTCCCCAGGCCTTTTCTCATCCCGTCTCCACCAACAGCCTCCATCCTGTGGAGCGTCTGGCTCAGGAGGTCCAGCAGCTCAAAGACAAGCTCGCACAAATATCCTCCGGTGCGAGTTCCGACTCGCCCGCCGTGACGCCCGAGCCCCAACGAACAGACACCAACCTGAACCGAAGCACTAACAGCACTTTCCTCCACCCGACGTCCAGGACTCAGGTCTCGGGGGCACCCAGAGTGACGCCCCCACCTACCTCCACCAACCACCAAACCTCCACCGTAACGCCGCTGTCCAGACCTGGCAACGCAGGCGCTGGAGGCAGCAACAAGCACTCCTTCCTTTTCAGACACTCTTCAGTGACAGACGCTCGCCACCACCCCCGATACTTCCCCCCACCCACTAATGCCAAGCTGCCCAAGAGCAACGGAGCGTCTGTGGGTTTCTGAGGTCTTACTGGTTTCTGCTGCACCCCAGGACTGGAACCAGTGTTTTTTCTCATTAAGTGTAGAGCGCAGTGAGACTGACGTGCACGTGCATTTTACTCTGAGCAAACAAAAACATTTAATTTGAACGTGTGATCTTGGAGCTGCTTCCTACAAACTGGGCTCGTAATATTAACAGAACGATCTGGCAACAACAAGTTTGTGTCTAAAATCAAACAAGGATTTAAATAATTTGTAAAATGCGAGTTTGTCCTCGTAAGAAATCTGTTTCATTTTGACTAGAAGGAATCTACAGCACATCTCCACTCTGACCAGTAAATGTTAAATCACTCAAACTTTTACAGATCCATTAAACTTTTTTTATATCTGTACGATTGGAATTATATAAAACTTTATATTCAGATTAATACAAGTAGCATAAATCATTTTTTTATTTTAATACTGACGAGTAAGGATGTTGCTGTGACCGGGAAAATGCTTTTATTGAAATCTAAAAATAGTACCGTATTTTCTGGCGTATAAATCGCATCAGTCAAAAAAAAAAAAAAAAGCGTCATGAAGAGGAAAAACATATAAGTTGCATTTATTTTGCGTCACTGCTGACCCATTGCATTTATTAAGTTTAATGGTCAGAACAGCTTCATTTTGCCTGGGCGGCGCAGCACCATCCATCCATCGCAGCCAGAGCCTCAAGCACCTCCGCCTGCACCAGCTGCGTGAAGCGAGCGCGCACGGGAGGCCTCGCTGTTGCAGTTCTTTGAAATTTAAAGTGTCAGTCAAAAATTGC